TTTCCATAGTGGTTGTACTAGTTTGCATTCCCACCAGCAGTGCAGGAGAGTTCCTTTCTCTCCACATCCTCGCCAACATTTGTTGTTGCTAGTTGTTTTAAGATATGCCATTCTCACTGGGGTGAGGTGGTATCTCATTGTGGTTTTAATTTGCATTTCTCTTATTACAAGTGATCTTAGACATTTTTTCATATGCTTGTTGGCCATTTGCATTTCTGAAGAGGTGCTGATTTAAAAAAATATTTATTTATTTATGCATACAAGAACTGGTGTGTAAGCCAGAGGTGGGGATGGCGGTGAGAGGATTCACCAGAGAGAGTGGGGAACAGAACTACTGAAATACACTGCTGAGGGGAGCAGAGGGTGAGATAGGAGAGGTCTGCTGCACCATGTGGGTCACCTCTCTGGTCTGGGATCCACCTTGTCCTGCATTGGCTGCTGAGGGCTTGATAGCGCTGAGACTTTAACACCTGCACCACCAGGGAGTCCCAGGAGCTGCTTTTAACCATGGTATTTTCCTCTTAAACTTTTATCTTTGGCCCAAGTCCTTCATTTTTTCCCAAAAGCTTTTTTGTTTTTTTAAACTGAGTTAACATTGGTTCACACCTCAACAAGCATATATGTCACCTCACGGCCATCACCAAGTCTGCTTACCACCCAGCCAACTCCCTTTACCTGTTCCTGCCCACCCCCTGCCACTCTAGGCTCCTCTCACAACAGTTCTGTTGTTTGTTTTTGTGTGGTTATTTGCTTTAATTCTTTATGTATAGTCACATGTAAATGACATCATATGGTGTCTGTCTTTTTTCATGACTGTATTCAGCATAGTCATGTCATATTGTTACAAATGGCAAGATTCCATCTTTTTCTTGTAGCGAGTGGTATTCTATTGTGTATGTGTGTACATCTTTATCCACTCATCAGTTGTTGGGACTTAGCTTGTCTTCATGTCTTGGCTATTGTGAATAGTACTGTAATAAACAGAGGGGTGTATATGTCTTTTCAAATTAGTGCTTTCATATTCTTTGGCTGGAGACCTAAAGTGGAATTTCTGGGTCACATAGTAGATCTACTTTCAATATTTCAAGTAACCACAGTACTATTTCCTATATGGGCTGCACCAGTATACACTCCCAGCCACAACCGGGTCCCCTTGGAGACTCAGCACTATCAAGCTATTGGCAGCCAGTGCAGCACAAGGTCGATCCCTGGCGAGGGAGCTGACTCCTGTCTCACCCTTTGCTTCCCTCAGCAGTATATTTCTTTCATTTTCTCCCCACTTTCTCTGGTGAATCTGCTCACTACCCCCTCACCTCTGGCTTATACCCCAGTTCTTGTATGCATAAATAAACAAATAAATAAATAAATATCTTTTAAAAAGCAACACTTCTCCAAGCAAAGTGATTTGTGATGGGACAAGCCAGAGGAAGTGGTGCCTGGGGTAAAAGTGGGGAGATGGCTTCCTTCGTCTCCATACCTTGCCTTACTATTTCTTGTCTTTTTGATACAAGCCAGTCTCAATATGTGAGGTGATATCTTGTAGTTTTGATTTGCATTTTCCTAATAGTAAGCAATGATGAAAAATTTTCATGCTCCTATTGAAAGTCTGACCTCTTTTTTTAAGATTTATTTATTCATACAGAACTGCAGTACAGGCCAGAGGTGCGAGGTGGTGAGAGAACTCACCAGAGGCAGAGTGGGGAGCAGAACAGGCAGATCGACATAGTACACTGCTGAGGGGAGCAACAGGTGATCCAGGACAGGTCTGTTGCGCCACGTGGGTTACCTCTGGGGTGGGGATAGAACCCGCGCTGAAGCAGCTGCAGCTCGCTTGCAGTGCAGCACCCTAACCCAATGAGCCACTAGGAAGGGCCCAGGTCTAACTTTTGAAATACAAAATCCAGAAAATCCTATACTATTCTTTCTTTTCCCTTTCACCTTATTTTTCTGAAGCAATGGGTTCTTTGACTGCCTGGGTGCTTAGCACAGTGATTTGGGACAAAGGTACCAGGGAAACAGAAATATCAGTTGTAATAGTTATAATGTTCGGTAAGTGTTAGAATGCTAAATGTCAGGTGATCACAGTATTTACTGACAGCAGAACACTGTTTTGAGTGCTTTATGAATGCATCGAATCCTCACCATAACCCTTTGAGGAGATAGATGTTATTGTCATTTTATTTACAAATGAAACTGGGGCATGGGACAGATCACAGGTGTTGGTAGAAAGAATCAGTAGAATGGCTATTCCTGCTGCGCATGCGCAAATGTGAGGCCAGTATTTCTGCTCCCCACTGCCATGAGGGCTGGGAGGGACATGAGAGGCCCTAGGGGCAGCATTCAAAAAGCCCCAATGTATGTGGCACAGAGCAGAGGGATATATAGGAGAATGACTGAGTGGAGCTTGTACTTGCAGAACTTTGTGGCCAAGGTTCACGGCTCTCCACGGGTGTACTGGCTGGGGCTGAGTGACAAGGAGCGGGAAAACGACTGGAAATGGCTGGACGGATCACCTGTCACATTAAGGCAAGTAGCCTGGGCTTATGGGGTCGCTGCTCCTGTGGGATTTTTTTTTAAAATTTCCATTTTAATAAATATTTTACATCATTCTTCCTTTTGGGCAATGCATACTTTCTCTCCTCAGGATGTAGTCCTGGTAAAATTCCCACCACCATTCACCTGTGCACCATCACCATAGTCCCTTGTGTAAGAACACATTCCCTCCCCTCTTTTGATCCCTCTCCTTCCCCTGCAGTGTCTCTGATTAATAGTCGCTGGTTTATTTTGTTTTTAAAATTTATTATAATGTTTTATTATAATTTTTTGGTTCCCCTACATTCTTCCTATAAGTGAAACCATCTGATATTTATCTTTTTCCTTTTGGCTTATTTCACTCAGCATGATCCCTTCCAGCTCCATCCATGTTTACTGTGAATGGCATGAGTTTATCTATTTTGATTGCTGATTAACATTCCATTGTGTATATTTACCACATCTTCTTGATCCAGTTATCCACTTGGGGGTATTTGAGTTGTCTCCATATCTTACATATTGTAAATAGTGCTGCAATAAACATAGGGGTGCAGGTAACCTTTTGAATTAATGTTTTTGTGTCCTTTGGATAGATTCCTAGAAGTGAAATTGCTGGGTAGCTCCATTTTTGGTAGACTGAGGAAACTCCACACAGCTTTCCAAAGTGGTTGGACCAGTTTGCATTCCCACTAGCAGTGTAGGAGAGGTCCTTTTTCTCTACATCCTTGCCAACATTTGTTGTTTCCTGTTTTTTTTTTTTTTTTAAGTATGTGCCATTCACACTGGTGTAAGGTGGTTTCTCATATAGTTTTGATTTACATTTTTTATATGCTTGTTTGCCATTTGCATTTCCTCTTTGGAGAAGTGTGTTGTTTAGCTCGTCTGCTCATTTTTTGGACTGGATTGTTTATTTTGTTTTTGTTGAGTCTCCTTATCTCTCTGTAGATCTTTGTGATCTGTCCCTTATCAGTAGTATTATGTGCATTTTTTTTCTCCCAGTCAGGATGGTGTCTTTTTGTTTTGGTTAATGTCTCTTTTGCTGTACAGAAGCTTTTTAACTTGATGTAGTCCCAGCTTTTCCTTCACTATCTTTGCTTTGGGGGATGTGTCTTTAATGATGTTACTGATATTTATGTCATGTAGTGTTTTGCTTATATTTCCTTTTTTCTATTTTTATGGTTTCAGGTCTAATATTATTGAACAGCCTAAGCTGACAAGTTCTCTAGAATCCCAGGTTGGGTTGGATGGGGGAGGCACAGGAGCCTCTGGGCCTTTAATTTTTCTTTGATTTCAATATCTTGATGTCTTAATACAACTGCCCAAATGTATCAAGTTCCCTGGGGCAGGTTGTGAGAAAAGAAAACTGAAAGGAGGTATGGCCACAGGACTACAGGAAGAGGAAGATCTCCCAATTAAGAAAATTGATTTACTGTTGGTTTACAAAGCTGCATCAATTTTGGTAATATACCTTAATTACTAGATCAATGTGTATACCACACCCCACACCCATCACCAAAATTCTAACAGCATTCATGGCGTTCACATTCATCCCCTGTACTCACTCTTCCTCCTTTGGTAACTGCTATTCTATTGCCAGTCTAAGAATTATTTTTGTTGTGTTTTGTTAGTTACTTTGCTCTGCTTCTTTATATTCCACACATGACAGTAACCATCCTGTAACTGTGTTTCTCTTTCTGACTTATTTCCCTCAGCACTATCACTTCAAGTTCATCCACTTGACGCCAGTGGCAAGATCTTGTCTGTTTTTCTTAATAGCTAAATAGTATTCCATCAAGTGTGCATATATAGAGTGTATATGTGTATTGATGTGCACACACAATCCCCCCTCATCACTCACACACCTTCTTTCTCCATTTATCTGCTCATAAGATCGTAGGTTGCTTCTATCTCTTGACTGCTGTGAATAGTGCTGCCGTGAACCTAGGGGTAAACACGTTCTTCTGAGTTAGTGTTTTCATATTGGAAGAGGAAAATTTTGGTATGCTGAAAGGATGCACAAGATCACATTTTAAAAAAAAAAAGATTTTTTTTTTTATGCTTACAGAACTGGGGTACAGGCCAGAGGTGTGGTGGGTGAGAGGAGTCATCAGAGACAGAGTGGGGAGCAGAACAGGCAGATTGATGAGGTACACTGCTGAGAGGAGCAGTGGGCAAGACAGGAGAGGTCTGCCACACCATGCAGGTCAGCTCCCTGGCATGGGTTCAAACTCATGGTGCAGTTGCTTCGGAGATCTCCATAGTGCGGTTCTTTTTTTTTTTTTTTTTAAGATTTATTTATTTGTGCATACAGAACTGGGGTACAGGCCAGAGGCTCAGGGATGGCGAGAGGCTTCACCAGAGACAGAGTGGGAAGCAGAACAGGCAGATCTACGAAGTACCCTGCTGAGGGGAGCAGCGGGTGGGTCAGGAGAGGTCTGCCACGCCATGTGGTCACCTCCGGGGCAGGCGGGAGTCGAACTCATGCAGAGGTGGCTTTAGCTTCTTAGTGCTGTGCTTTAACCTGCTGTGCCACCAGGGAGGGCCCATAGTGCGGTTCTTTAACCCATTGTGTCACTAAAGACAGCCCAAGATCGTATTTTTTTATGCTCTCTACATACATTAACATTTAACCTATTTGTTTATTACATTGTAAAAGGACAGGTTTATTAGAAAAAGGAGAAAAAGAGGCACCTGCGTAGTCACAAGGGAATAGGAGAGCTGCTCCACATTATTATTAAAAAAATTATTTATTTATTCATACAAACACTGGGGTACAGGCCAGAGGGGTGGGTGGGGGGGTGAGAGGACTCACCAGAGACAGAGTGGGAAGCAGAACAGGCAGATCTACTGAAATGTACTGCTGAGGGAAGGAGTGGGGGAGATGCCGTGTGGGTCAGCTCCCTGGCTGGGGATTGCACTCTGGCTGTTGCAGTCATAGCCCGGAGATTTAGCCCCTAGGCCACCAGGGAGGCCCTCTATAATTTATTTTTTATCAACATAACATTGCAGCATATTTTATATATTTCAGGTGTGCATCATTATCAGCATTCTACTACATTAATTTCATATTAAAAGTCTGATTCTATCCTTCATCATAGAATTGGCTCCATTTGCCAAATTTACCCACCCATCTTCCTTTATTAACGCATTTATTTAATCTTCTTAATTCTATGTGAAAATACCGTTCTTTCACTTCACCTTAAAGATGAAGAAACTATGAAGCATCGAGAGGTTAGGCAGCCCATGGCCGGTTACAGATGACAATGCCAACCAACCTGGGCCCAAAGTATATGCCCTTAGCAATTACAATTCATTTTGTCAAGGAGTTACATGTATTTTTGTTTATTTATTTGTACATACATACAAACAGAACTGGGGTGCAGGCCAGAGGTGCAGGGGCAGTGAGAAGATTCACCAGAGGCAGAGTGGGGAGCAGAACAGGCAGATCAACGAATTACACTGCTAAGGGGAGTAGCGGGTGGGTCAGGGGAGGTCTGTTGCACCATGTGGGTCACCTCCGGGACTGGGGATTGAACTTGCAGTGAAGCAGATGCCGCTCGCTTGCGGTGCTGCGTCCTAACCTATTGCGCCGCCAGGAAGGGCTGCATTTTTATTTAAAATAAATATAAACAAATTTTTCCCCATATGGTTTATACCAATTTATTCTCTTACCAGCTTGATTTCTATTACCCCCATTATGTTCATCAAACTTTTTGAACTTTATTGGCAAAATTACAGGCAAAAATGTAATCCTAACGTAGCATTTTTTGGGGTATAAATTCTACGTTAAGTTTGAATTAAGCCAGAACATGAAAATTATCTTATTTTAAAATGATACAACACTCCACCTACTCCTCTTGCTCTGAGAAGAGAGCCAACGTATTAACTGGCATGTCTTTTATAATGACTGAAATTGGGTATTTTTTATGTTTAATAGTCAAATGCATTTTTGTGTGAATTATCTATTCCTATACTTAGTATATTTTTATACTGGGATGTTGGTTTTTCTTCTTATTGGTTTCTAGGAGTTCTTGTTATTTAAGCGACATTTGTGTCCTTTCTGGCAATCTGATTTTTTAAAATTTAAGATTCCTAGGAGGAGGCATACAGCTCTGTCCGTAGAGACGGTGAGGCATGAGGCGGCTGGTGCATCCGCCTTCCAGCAGGGGGCGTTAGCTGTTAAGGGCTCACTAATAACTTTCTTCAGATTTTTTTTTTTTTCAGTTGCATGGAAGTCTGCTCACTTAGGCTACCGCTCTCTGACAGGGGTCAGCCCGCAGTTGATGTCTGACTAAGAGAAGCCTGAACCCCTTGTTTCAATTTGAGATAATTCTTTTGTGCTTCCTGTGTGAGCAGGTTGAGGCTGAACCCACATTCTTGTTAAATTCGTTCCCTGCTCTTTTTGCTTCTCTCACTCCCTCTCTTCTTTCTTAATAAATCCCATGTACTTCAATCTCTGAATCAGGCTCTGCTTTAAGGGAAGCTGACCTAAGATGTTATAATATCCTGCAGGTTGGGAGGATTGCGTGTGTAGAAGAAGGGTTCTTAGAGGAGGCAGAGATTGACCAGAGAGAAGAAATTGATTTAGGAGTGAAGTGCCAGGAATATCCTGATGAACAGAGAGCTAGAGCTGAATTTGGATGAACCCAGCTGGGGGGAAGGGGACTATGCACTATCTTCTGATACTGCTGAGAGACTGAAGACATTATTCAGGTGGAAAAACTAGAGTCATGAAATCTCTTCTCTTCTCCCCCACACCCCAATACTGTTTTTTACAAAGTAATAAGCTTTCCTTTTAAGTTTAAAGAAAAAGTGAGCAGAAGTACAGAGATTTTCTATATATCCATTGCTTTTCCATACACAGCTTCCTCTTTTATTAACATCGTGCATTAGTGTGGGCATTTATTACAACTGATGAACCCTTGTGGATATATTATTATTAACTAAAGTCTGCCATTTACATTACCAGTCACTCCAAATGTATGTACTATGGGTTTTGACAAATGCATGATGTCATATATGTCACTGCAGTATCATATAGAATAGTTGTTTTGTGGATCTGAAAATTCCCTCTACCCCACTTATTCATTCCCTCCCCACTTACTTTTTCCTCCATCCAGTTTCTGGGATCCACAGGAACCCAACAACCTCTTTAATGAGGACTGTGCCAGCATGAATAAGGGTGGCACCTGGAATGACCTCTCTTGTGATAAAACTACATATTGGATCTGTGAGCGGAAATGTTCCTGTTGAAGCCCAGGCCTTATGGGGGTCCAAGTGCCTCTTAGATATGAGAACCACCTGCCTTTCCATGGAAAGACCTACCTCTACATGAACTTACATGGATGTGCCCAAATGGAACCAGCAGCCTGGATGGAGCAACTTTCCTGGGTGAAGACTTGAGTCTTATTCAACTGGATGGTGTCTCAGTCCATTCAGTCTGCTATAAGAGAATACCCTAGTTCTGGTGGCTTATAAACAACAGAAATTGACTTCCTGAGCTGACTCCCTAGGCTGGGAAGTCCAAGAACACAGCCTAGGGAGATTCAGTGCTTGATGAGACTCTGCTTCTGAGCCCATAGTTGGCATCTTCTTACAGTGCCCTAATGCGCTTGAAGGGGCAAGGGTTCTCTCGAGTCTCTTTCAGGAATGCTCTGATCCCATGAAACCTCTACCCTGATCACTATTCCCCAATACATCACATTGGGGATCAGTATTAAAAAATTGAATTTTGGGGAAGGGTTGGGACACACAATTCAGTCTGTGACAGAGGGTGAAATGGAGGGACAGTCGGCTTGAGTGGAGCTTCCCAAATCTCTGAGCACGGCTCTTGGGAAGTGATGCTGGTTCTGGGGACTTGGGTTTGATGTTGGTGGTCCCAGCCCTTGGTTTCTTTGGACTGTCATGACTTGAGACTGGGAACCTACTGCCTGTAGGACGTAGATCAGCTTTTGGGAAGTAGGGGCAAAATTGTTCTTGACATGCAACATTTTCAATGCCCTGGATGAGTTTTGACCAAATTAGCTGGTGGAGTCAGACCTCTTCATGACTCGGTCCATGTAACTTTCTAGAAATGCACTCAGCTGAAAGGCAAGGTCCTCGCCCATGGTAGCCAGGCCAGCCATGAACTAATCACATCCTCAGGCCAGCAATGACGATATCTACCCAAATGTGCCCTTTAGCTGTTTGTGGTTTGTGAAGACCTTTGATGAAGTAATTCATTTTACTTCCTGGACCCTTTCTCTTGCACATATGATTTTCTCAAAAATGTCAGCTCAGGTCCTCCCTGGTGGTGCAGTGTGTTAAAGCATAGCACTATGAAGCTGCTCACAGCACGAGTTCGATCCCCCGCTGGAGAGGTGACCCACATGGCGTGGCAGAACTCTCCTGACCAACCCGCTGCTTCCCTCAGCAGTGTATTTCAGTCAATCCATCTTTTCTGTTCCACTCTGTCTCTGGTGAATCCTCTCACCCCTGCACTTCTGGCTTGTACCTGAGTTCTTGTATAAATAAATAAATCTTGGAAAAAAAAAGGCTCATTTTGTAGCCCTTGCGTGCTTTGTTAGCTTGCTAAGGGTATCATAATAAAGCCCTATAGCCTGGCTTAAACAAGAGAAATGTATTGTTTCTCAGTTCTGGAAGTTGGAGGTTGAGGTGTCAGTGGGTTGGCTTCTAGTGACACCCATCTCTGTGGCTTTTGGCTTGTAGGTGGCTGACTTCTTTGTCTCTTCACACCCTCTCCTTTGTGTCTGTGTCTAAGCTCCTCTTCATCCGAGAACACGGATCATAGTGGATTAGGATCTACTAATGACTTCACTCTAATTTAATGAATTCTTTAAAGACATTATCTCTGAATAAGTCACATTCTGAGGCATAGGGGTCTTCAGCATATAAATTTGGGATCCATAACAGTATATAATACCCACTAAAATGTCAGAGGTGCTCTTCCTAGTCCTTAAGAAAATAAAAAGTTCTCCCTAGATGGCTCACATTCCCTAAATGGTCCACCGCTGAGCACAACCCACCATGGCAAGCCCAAATTGTATCTCGGGATAGAAGCTTCTGCCAAATCATTCTGTTGATCAACAGATGTCCTTGACTGATCACAGATGCCCTTGATTTAGTTTTGATTGACACCAAGGAAGGTCTGTGCAGAGCAAGCAGTGGGTTGGTGAGCACTTCCTCTTGTTTGTTGCTCATCTCTGCACCTGTCCCCACCTCACCAGCATGGAAACCAGCCCCAACACAGCCCATAGACTGCAGAGTGGGTGGGTATCCTATTTTAAGCCCTTTTTCCAGGGCACCATTTGTTCAAGTGACTGTTGACTTGAGGTCGGGGAAGTTCCTGAATTTCAGAAGAGGGAACTTCAGTTTTTCCCAGCATGTAAGAATGTGTGTTGAAAAATGGGGAAGTAGAGGCTGCGGTTACATATTCAAGTAATGCTGTGGGCTCCATGTTAGCACTGGCCCAATAGCTCCTTTCCACATCTCTCACGATTGTCTAATTTCTTTTTAATATTTATTTATTTTTATGCATACAAGAACTGGGGTACAGGCCAGAGGTGTGGTGGGTGAGAGGGTTCACCAGAGACAAAGTGGGGTGCAGAACAGGTAGAATGACTGAAACACACTGCTGAGGGGAGCAGTAGGCAGGTCAGGAGAGGCCTGCTGCACCATGTGGGTCAGCTCCCAGGCTGGGGATTGAACTCATGCTGAAGTGGCCTTGGACAGCTTCCTAGTGCTGCACTTTAACTAGTTGTACCACCAGTGAGGGCCTCCTGATTGTCTAATTTCAAGTAGAGAAGGAAACACTAAAAAGGTCCCCTTTACTATTTTGGATCAAAATAAACAAAGGTTGGTGTTTCGCGATGAAAAAAAAAATAGTAATGACCACCATTTATTTTATCAAGCATCATTGGACATTAACAGAGGCAGCAGCTCTCATTTAATATTCATTATGGCTGTGAGGTTGAGATAATTAACAGCCCCATTTTCTAGCTGGTAGAAATGAGGCATAAAGAAGTCTCATGACTGGTTCATTTTCCTCTAGTGGTTAAGAGACAGAGCTGCATTTGAACTCAGTCTTTCCTTCCAAAGGTTGGTCTCTCTCTGTGGCACATCTGACCTTCTGAGACTCTGTCTATAAACTTGAATTATCTTAAGGACTCTGATCTTGTGGCTCTGATTTGAATTGGCCATGTGGGAAAGGAACACTGTGATATAGTGGGACAGATGTCCAAACTAAGGAAGGAGGCCAGGAGTTGAGTTCTGGGTCTGTTGGTAGTTATCGTGTGGCTCTCCTGGGGTTGTTACAGTAAGAGCCACACACAGCACATGCTTTGCACCCTGACTGGTGTTTCCTGGGGCCACTTTCAAAGAAACACTGCTCTCCAACCTTGTCTCAGAGTTTGTTTTTGAGGGAACCCAAACAGAAGAAGAATTTGAGACCTGACCCAGGTTTGCTGGGCCCTGGGGACATGGGATCTCAGTGGAAATGCTGAAACTGTCCTGTGCAGCCTGGGGTGAGTTGAGCTCCTTTATTTAAAGAAGTGAATGCGGTATCTGGGAAGCTGAGCGAAGAGTGTGCTTCAAGTAGATATGGGAATAATGTATGCATTGAATCACCACTTTGTACCCTTTAAATACATGTGTTTTCTTTGTTAATTATAACTCAAGAAAGATGGAAAAATGAAAAGATTTCCTCATAAAAAGGAATGGGGCCAACAGAGTGAAATGTGACTCAAAGGTCAAGTTAAAAACAATTGTGAAGTAGCTAATGGACTTGGCACCAAGAAAGCATTTGGAGCTGGAGGCAGGAGTCAGACTTCTGCAACTGAGCAGTGAGGGGTTGGGAGGAAGTGGGGACAGCAGGGTTTAAACTATTTCACAGAGTTTTGTCTGCGATGAGAAAGAGACAGATGGTGTGGTGATTACACAGGTAGGATATTTTTGTGTAGTAGGCATTCAAACATACTTCCCCTCCCATTCTGTTCTAAACCCTTATTATTCTTATATTAGATCTCTTGGGTCTCTAAGATTTTTTCTTTTTGGCATTTCCCCTCATCTTTTGACATTTTTCTCTGTGCTTTGAGATGTATCTTTCATATGGTCTTCTAAACCACTAATTTGGTTGTGACTATGACCATCTTTTAAAAAGGTTTAATTTATTTATTTATGCATACAAGAACTGGGGTACAAGCCAGAGGTAGGGGAGAGGGTGAAAGGATTCACAGGAGACAAAGTGGGGAACAGAACAGGTGGATCTACTGAAATACACTGCTGAGGGGAGCAGTGGGCAAGACAGGAGAGGTCTGCTGCATTATATGAGTCCCTCCCTGGCCGGGAATCATGCTGCACTGCATTGGCTGTTGATAGCTTCATAGTGTTGAGACTTCACCCCTTGGGCCACCAGAAAGGCCTATTATGATCATCTTTAAAATATTTTATCCAGCAAGATTAATCTTCTTACTTATTCCCATTAGTTTTTTTGTGCTGTATTTGAATTTCCATTTTAATATATATATATATATATATATATATATATATATATATAGAGAGAGAGAGAGAGAGAGAGAGAGAGAAAGACATATATATTTTAAGATTTATTTGTTTATGCATACAGGAACTGGTGCAGGAGGAAGTGAGAGGATTCACCAGAGACAGAGTAGGGAGCAGAACAGGTAGATTGGTGAAGTACACTGCTGAGGGGAGCAGCGGGCGAGACAGGAGAGGTCTGCCTACCATGTGGGTCAGCTCCCTGGGTGGGGATCTAGCTGAAGTGGCTGCTTCTATCTTTGTATGCTGCACTTTAACCCATTGCACCACCAAGGAGGGCCCCTGAATTTCCTTATATTTTTATTATTCTTGTTCGAAGTTGTTTGTCTACTCCAGCATCTTTATTTTGCTGGGTGCTTATTATATTGCACCATCTTCTTTTCAGCTACTAGGGCTTATCAAAGGTTATGATAAGCACTTCCTAAGTGGTGCAAGGGGGTGGGAGGAGGTAGATTCTGTAGTCCAGGGGGGTCCATGTTTGCCCCAGCAGAGGTAGTGTGCTTTCTAACCTCCTTACTCTTTCCTAAATTCAGGAATAGGGTTCCTCTTGGAACTTTTAGGGACCAGAGGGATCAAATACACATGTTAGTGTTGGCCAATGAGCTGGGAGTGGTTTTATGTTTCTTTTTTTTATTTCTAAGGGATTATGCACAAATATCCCCCTATCTATGTATTGCATATATTATGTGGGCATATGGCAGATGCTCGCCTAACTCTAGGAGGTCCATAGGCTTCTGTGGGCTAGATCATTCCTAGGATGGGCTTTGTCTGAGCTCTACTACCTGGGAACATTCTTCAAATTGTCTTGGGTCCCTCCACTTAGTGCATGGGGGGAGATATTTCAATTCCAGATATCTCCCTGAGAAGCCCCCAGATCTCCTCACTCCCACACTGCTGCCATGGGCCTTTGCAGGCTTTTGGTTCAAAGAGGCAGATATAGTAGGGGACAGAGTGGAGGGGAACTGAGACATGTTCACAGGTGACCATTTTGCTGCCACTTCTATTTATTTAGCATAGGGGCCAGCAAACTACAGCCTGGATATGTATCAAATCTTGCCTGCAGCCTGTTTTTGTTGGCCAGTGAATTAGGAATGGTGTTTATGTTTCTTTTGTAATTATATGTTATGTATGAATCAATTTATATCAGTCATCTTTCTATGCATGCATTCATGTGGGAGTGGTGGAAGACTTAGACAAGAGGAGATAACCAATGGAGAAAAAGCTCTCCAAAGATGAAAGAACAGATGAAATCCAAAACAAAAGGGGAGGCGTTCAATTTATTTATTTATTTAGATTTATTTATTTATGCACAGAGAACTGGGGTATAGGCCAGAAGTGCAGGAGTGTGTCACCAGACACAGAGTGGGAAGCAGAACAGGCAGATCAACGAAGTTCACTGCTGAGGAGAGCAGGGGGCAAGAGAGGAGAGGTCTGCCAGCCATGTGAGTCATCTCTGGGCAGGGTATTGAATGCACACTGAAGCAGCTGTGGCTAGCTTGCAGTGCTGCATCTAACCCATTGTGCTACCAGGGAGGGCCTGGAAGTATTCATTTTAAATAAGGACAGGCACCTTTCTGCTGTTGTGGAAGGATGGAGAAGGTGCTCAGATTAGGGAAGTCAGTGAGGATGGACATGGTTGCAGATGTTTTTGTAAGGGATGTCAGGAGTTGAAGGCATTTTCATTAGTTGATATTGTCTCTGTTTATTGTCCTACTTCGGTGAAGTACAAGACAAAGACTTCTGCTTAATATAAAGGAACAGGTGAAGAGAATTGAGAAAGGAAATGAAAAACTGAAACTCTCCATGTGGGGAAGTTGATCAGGACAGGAAGAGTGAGTTTTAGATAGCATGGAGAATGTTGTCTAGAACAGATTTCAAGCTGAGTGATTTTGGGATCTCACTGCCTGATGGAAGAGTAGAAAAGACATATGGTTGTGTCATAAACAAAGATGTTTGACTGTTTTGGGGTGCAAATTACAGATTACTCTACCAGAAGTGACTTAAAAAAGGAGTTTATTTGATTAATATAAGAAAAAGTTCAAGGTTCATTGAACAACTCATTATCAAGTCCCAGATTGTTTCCAGCTCTTTCATCCTTAGTATTTCTATGGCATTTTCTCTCAAAGCATCAAACTTTTGTACTATAACAATCAAAAGCAGAAAGTAGTGGGAAGGTTCTCCTTTAATGAGTTTTTGTTTGTATTAAGAAGAAAAAATATTTTCTAATAAGTGTTTCTTGTATATCATTGACTAGAATTCATACAGATGGGCATCCCAAATTAGCCTCTACCAATTAGGAATATGATCACTTAAGGTTAGTTTATTTTTGGGTTTCTCCTCCTCAGCATTTGGAGATGGATAATTCTGCATGTGTGTGTGTGTGTGTGTGTGTGTGTGTGTGTATGGGGGTATCTTGTACATTGTAGAAGTTTAGTAGGGTCCCTAGCCTCTATCATTTAAATGCCAGTAGCATCTTCCCTTGTGTTAGTCTTGACAAGCAAAAATGTTCCCTAGGTACTGCCAAATGTTCCTGGAGGAGGGGGAGGAAATAATCTCCAGTTGACAATCACATAGCTTAGATCAATCTAAAGTGACTCCTGAAACCCAGGCACATTGCTGGCCCAATTCTGAAAATAATGAGGGTTTTGCTATTAAAGAACAAGTTGTGATGGTGGGAGGTGAGTTCTGGAATGAGGTTTTCAAAGGTAGGTATGGAAACAGACTGAGGACACAAAGGTGTTGAAAGTATGGGGAAAAGCAGTTGTCATGTTTGGTCAGGAGGTTTAGCCTAGATAAGAAAGAAGGTAAAGTCAATGGTTTTGGAAAAGTTGATGGCTTGAAGGTCTATATGAGTGCAATGAACAAGTTTAGGATGAGTGAGAGTAAGGACTTGAAAGACATTGAAAGATCATCTCATTTGCAAAAATTCAAGGGTATATTTGCAAGGTCTTGATTTGGGTATCCAGGGACAAACATTGAACATATCATGGTGAAGAGAAAATCAATTCAGCACACAAATAATGAGAGCACACTGTACAGAAAGAAATACACTGCGAAGTAAAGATTAAACTTTTTCCTCTCCAAGGATGACATGTACAATAATTCCCCTTGTTCTCAACTTTATTCTTTATGATGTCAAATGGATCCATGGGTATGACTTTCCATGTATGGCTGAATGTGTTAATGTTTTCTCTTTACTTGTCCTGTAAAAACAACCCCCCCAATATGTTTAGATAAAAGTTAAATGTAAAGATAAAACCAACCAACCACCAAAAGATCAGAAGCGGATTAAAGGCAGAGGGCTCTGTCAGCAGGTAAGGGTGGCACAATCTCCTAGCATTTCTGGAGTCCTAGGACAGGTATGACCTTCTTTAGCTGAGAATGAGAGGGCTTCTCAAAAATCCAGGATAAAAATTTACCTTTGTTTTTTTTTAAAGATTTATTTATTTGTGCATATAGAACTGGGGTACAGGCCAGAGGCTCAGGGGCGGCCAGAGGCTTCACCAGAGACAGAGTGGGGAGCAGAACAGGCAGATTGATGAAGTACACTGCTGAGGGGAGCAGCGGGCGGGTCAGGAGAGGTCTGCCGCGCCATGTGGTCACCTCCGGGGCAGGCGGGAATTGTACTCAAGAGGAAGTGGCTTTAGGTTCTTAGTGCTGTGCTTTAACCCGCTGCTCCACCAGGGAGGGCCAAAAATTTATCTTTTGTTTTCTGAAAAATTTCAATGTAGTATCCTTCTTTAGAACTTCAGTCCCCTATACATTGATTTTGTCTATGAAGAAAGTCCATGAAGGTATGGGCTGCTTTGGTCTCATTCCTTTTTGTATGTCTATTGCTTACCATCAGGTCTGAAACATTATAGAGCTCAATAAATTTGTCATTGCTACCCACACATTATACCTTGACTTACAAGCTCCAAACAGGGTAATATATATGTCCTATCACCATCCATAAAGATAGAGTTCCTGGCCCAGTTACAAGAGTATATGTAGGAAGTCCAAAATTATGTCTTTTTCTGTTAATATTTATGGTTTACTCACAGAACACCTTGGCTAGTCATAACTTTTTCTATAAAATACAGTGTTACCCACTATCACAGCTGACCTGTCAAGATTATCATGTTTCTAGGGAACCCAGCTAGAAAGTTAGCTCAGTGGAAGAAGAGCTGCGTACCAGGAACAATCAATTTCTACAGAGGTTCCCTTTCTAACAGGATCACTCTTTCTATCAAGCAGGTCCTATTATTCTGTGTACTTCTCTCCTTGGTCATGTAGAACAGGTGGAGTGGGTCCCTCTCCTAGTCCCTTTCCATGGTGTTCACTAACTCCACTGGATTCACTTCCACCTCTCTTTGGGGTAGTAGGGTTTCAGGTGGTGAAGACTGCTTTGTTATCTCTGTGATTATATGCCTCCTCCCAGGTGCTTCTACTTCATGGCAGTAGTCCTGGTGCTGTTTTACCCATATGTCTTTGCATAAGAGAAATACAGAAATCTGAGTAAGCACAGTTAGTGTGCAGGGAAGAGTACTGAGTAACAATATAATAAGAATGAAGAATATAAGCTTGCTAATTAGGAAATGAACTCTTTTCATGCATTCCAGGAAAGGGAGCTTGTACTAAACAGGAGGAAGAAGTTTTGTGTTGGGGACAAAACATTAGAATAAGCCATAAGATCTCTTACCTCAGGTTTTGAATCAGAGCCAAACTTGCTGGAAAGCGTATAACTCTCAGACTTAGATTTATGTTTTATGATCTCTCTAATCCACTTTTGGACCTGGAACATCAAAGGATAAAGCAGGGTTTTGTTAACATTAGTGAAAAGAAGGGAGGAGCACAAGGGATTATGGTGATGGGAAATGGGTGAATTGGTGGGAATTTCAAGGGGACTAAACCTGACAGGAGAAAGCATGCATTGTACAAAAATGAAGAATGATGTAAACTAGATATACAATAAAAAGGAAAAAAATAGTGAAAATAAAAGCCAGTTAATTATAAAGAGGATAGAGACATTATGAAAAAAAAATCCCTATAAAATGTGATACGTACTCTCAAAGAAATGTTATTTGGCTTTAAAAAGGAATAAATTTAGACACTACAATCTGTATGAAACTTAAGACATTGTGCTAGGTGAAATAGCCAGTCACAAAAGAAAAAGTACTGTATTATTTCATATATGTGAAATACCTATAGTAGTCAGATTATTTGAGACAGAGGGTAGAACAGTGGTTACCAAGGGCTGGGAGGGGAGAATGAGCGTTAATGTTTAACGGGAACAGGTTTCAGTTTGGGATGATGGAAAGTCTGGAGGAAGGTGATGATGGCTGCACAGCACTGTTGATGTGTTTAATATCACAGACTTACATAATTAAACATGGCTTCCATATTTTAAAGCATTGAAGAGATATTGCATTAGTGTTATGTAAGTTTCAGGTGTTTATCATTAAAAATCAACATGTGTCTATACTACATTAGGCTCACCAGTGAAAGTCCAATTCTGTTTTTCTTGCAATTGATCCCTTTTACTTGATTTACTCATCCTTTCTTCTTTCCTTTCATCAACATTAATTGATCTTATAGTGTCATTAATTGATCTTATTGCTTGGTTTTCTATGTACCGCACATGAGTGATCTCATACGGTATTTGTCTTTACTTACCATAAGTGATCATAATACCCTCTGTGTTGTAAATTTTAGGATTTCATCTAAACTGGTAAATTTTATATTATACCTTATTTTTTTTTAAACCACAGTTCATTGTTTACATTGTAGAATATATATCATTTGTAGGAAATTCATAAAGTAAGAATATGCAAAGGGGGAAAAAGGAAGCTAGACACAATTTTTCAATCTAATAAAAAAATCACTGGCCTTCCCTGGTGGCACAGCGGGTTAAAGCACTGCACTCAGAAGCTAAAGCCACTTCCACATGAGTTCGAATCCCGTCTGCCCCGGAGGAGACCACATGACGTGGCAGACCTCTCCTGGCCCGCCTACTGCTCCCCTCAGCAGTGTACTTCGTCGATCTGCCTGTTCTGCTCCCTACTCTGTCTCTGGTGAAGCCTCTCACTGCCCCTGAGCCTCTGGCCTGTACCCCAGTTCTGTATGTACAAATAAATAAATCTTTAAAAATAAATTAAAAAAAATCACTGCTTATATTTTGGTGGTATGTTTCTGTGTCTTGGATCTCCTATAAACAAACTCTGAGACTAAAGTTCATGCGTTTATTTGAGGAGTGTTCCCAGAAACATCAGTGGATCAGTGGGGAAGTGAGAAGGGAGGGAAGGCAGCCAGTGACGTGTGATGTGTGTGCATTGTCCTTTCCATCGTGTTTCTACCATGGAGTCCATTTCCATGTGGGCTCTGGGACGAATGTAGGACACATCTCAGAGTCATCTTACCAGAGAGACATGGAGCTGGGTCATCATCCATCAGCTCCCATAAATCTCTGGCTGATAGTTGCTCTCAAGCACCGGTATTTTCTGGACCTACCAACTAGCCCATGCATAGGCCACACAGACCCAGTGGGCAGGCAGAAGCCAATAGCCTTGGTCATTGGTGTTTGCAGTAAGCAATCTTGGGCATGCAGAAGTGAATGCCAAATAATATGAGAGTGATTAATAGCATGTGCTATTCCAGCGTTTCCCAACTGTGGTACTATTACATCTTGGTTGGTTCATGTTTTGTGGTGGTAATGGACCTATGCACTGTGGGATGTATAGCAGCATCCTTAACCTACACCCACCAGACCTCAGTAGCATCTGTCCCCCAAGTTGTGACAATCAAAAAGGTTACAGACATTGCTAAGTGTCCCTCTCTGGGGAGGACTGTGTGAAAAGCAATGTGACTTATCTCATACCTGAAAGCATTAGCATAAACAAAGAATGTTTACATGTATCATATAAACAAAATGGAACCTTTCTGGAATAAAGTTTCAAAACTTGCCTTTTCACCAATATATTTGCAGTCATCAAATATTTTTGGGCAAAAATTAACATTTGAACATTCCAGTTCTACCCTGTCCTTTTGCTTTCTAGGGAATGTGTGCTCTGTTAGGTGAGTTTCTTCCTCCCCTTCAACACTAAAGCAGCTGATCTTTTCCAGTTTGGTTTGGTGGGCATCTGGATGCAGAGTGAGGGAAGAAAAAGAAGGGAGGAAGGAAGAGAGGGGTAAGTAGGGAGAGAAGGAGACAGACGAGGAATGGAGAAGGAGAAAGTTGAAGCAGTGAAGATGGAAGTGGGATTGGGGATGTAGGAGGAGGGGAAGGAGTAGGAGAGAGAGGAGGAGGAGTTGTACCAGGAAAGAAAGTGTATCAGTCAGGGCATGTATTACACAGTCACAATCCTGGAGCCTTAGTGGCTGAATTCAACCAAAGGATCCTAGATTATGTGTTCTCTTTTGACCTGAGAAGTACAAATAAAGAACTTGAGTGTGTTTTTTCTAGTTGCTAGATTATGTTGATTTGGTCATTGCACCTTCTGACCTGGACCACCTGGATCTCAGCTTCACTGGGGCTTTAGTTTTTTATAACACTATATTTAATGGTTACAGAGTCCCATTCTATGGATGTAGTATAATGTAACTAGTCTAGGTAGAAGTGTGTCAATTTAATAGACTACAGTAGAGCTTCATCTTCTTGGAGTTCAACTCTAGAGGCTATATGTTATTGCTGGGGATTCTTTAGTTAAGCATCATCATAGAGGTTTGTCTCACCAAATACAAAGCCCCCAATGTTCCCTGAATTTAGGCACACATTATTGTCTTCCCCCCCACCCCTGCAGCAGACAAGTGAATTGCCTTGCATTTTTATATTGAATAAAAACGTTAAGCTAAACTTAGAGGCTTACATTAAGAGATGCCTCAGGAACCTAGCTTAACTGAGGGAAGCGTGCACTGAAGTCTGCATTGTGCTCACTCAGGCACATATTTCCACTGAGAAGAGTTTCTTTGGTTATAGTGTAAGCAACACTGGCTTTTTGTTCTGTTTGTTTATTTATACTTCCTTAAATTTATTTTATTTTATTATTATTATTATTTTAAAATAATATAATAGTTTATTTTTACATCATTTTGTGCCTTTTTCCATCTCAGTTGTAATCCCCGGGGGCTTCCCATCACAAATCACGCATATGCCATCACCATAGTCCAGTACACTTTCCCCCTCCCCATTTTTGACCCCACTCCCCACTCCACCCTCTAAAAATGTCTCTGGCATATCGTTGTTCATTATTATTATTTTCTCCCCTGGTCCTTTATACTCTTGCTGTGAGTGAAACCATCTGATATTTTTCCTTTTCTTTCTGGCTTATTTCACTAATCATGATCCCTTCCAGCTCCATCCATGTTGCTGCAAAAGACATGTATTTCTCTTTTTTGGGTGCTGAGTAATATTCCATGGTATATATGTACCACATCTTTTTAATCCAGTCATCTACTTTTGGGTATTTGGGCTGCTTCCATGTTTTTCCCATTGTAAATAAATCAGCAATAAACATGGGGGTATAGGTGCCTTTTTTAATCAGTGCAATACTGGCATTTAATGACACCAGTGGATGGACGGGTACATATGTGGATATGGGATAAAGCAAATATAGTACAACGTTCATTATAGGATTGAGGTGTTTGGTATATGTGTCTTCACTATGTAATTCTTTCATATGTTTTGTAAGTTTGAAATGTTTTAAATAAAATGTTGAAAGTTAATTACCTAACATTGTTGAACTATTAAAACATGTTATTATGGAAACTGTGCCATCACATGGTAATGTATTTAAATATGGTTGGTTGCATTATTCACCTCATTATTTTTGCATCTGTCACAGAATTACACTATCTTAGATTCATGGTGGGTGCCGCATTATTCTTCCATTATTCTTGACTTTGGGCTTAGATGGTTGATTTTTTTGGACCCATGGGGATATTAGTGGAGATGAGGCAAATAGGATCACAAGACCTGAAATGGAGTTGCCCAATAGGACTTGCCTTCTTGTGATTTTTTCCCACTGTCAAGAGAAGAACATATCCTGGGGAGTGGTTCTGCCTTCTGCCAAGCTCTAGATGAGCCACAAGGAGTGTGTTTGAACATGAACTGCATCTTGGAGCCAAGCCAAGATGAGCTCAGGCAAAAGCAGCTGGACTCCAACCAACCTGCCAGATCCAGACTGAGAAGAATTTTCGAGGTTGTTACTTAGCAAAATGCTGATTGTAACAAACAGAAAAGCCAAAGAAAAACATATTTCTTTGATGTAGCAATTGCTTATTTTCTGAAAGTCATAAAAATTGATGGAGTTACATCCCTCTATAATTTTCTTAACTTAAAAACCATAAAGAAAGTCAGTGTTTACCTGCTGATTGAGGATGCAGTAGACCAGGAAGATGAAGACGCCCTGCAGGCTGTTGATGATGGTGAACAAGTAGGCCATGACCTGGGCACCCGGACCTACCTGCAGGATTCCCAGAATCCATGTGCATCCCAGGATGAAGAGCTGAGCTGCAGCTTTGAATGTCAGCATCCTGCAGGGATTTGGAAAGACTGATGCCAAAAAGAGAATCATGGGCCAGGACACCTCTATTGAGTTGGTGTGAATGGTGAGAGATCTGCAATGAGTAGACCTGGGTTTCAACACAATCCAGCATTAAGGGACTGTGTGACCCTCAGCAAGTCACTGTATTTTTCTGTAGCTCGGGTCCCTCTGCTCTAAAGACATTCTATTCTGGGGAGGGAAGTGCACTGGACTATGGTGATGGCATATGGCTGATTTGATGATGGGAAACCCACGAGGATTACAACTGAGATGGAAAAAGGAACAAAATGATGTAAAAATAAACTATTATATTATTAAAAAAACATTCTATTCCATAAGTTTACTGCAAACATTCTGTGAGACATTAGCATATGTATTTAGGACCCTACATAGAGGAATATTAATACCGCCTACAGGTAAAGCATTCTCAAACTTGTGGTTATTTATCTCTCTATGATTTAGAGATGGGGATCATTTAAATTGTTATTCAGGTAGAGATATAAAAAAGGGGTTCTATAGGCATAAACTGGGACATTTCCAGGTTAGTTAAGCTCACCCCACTTATGTATCTCTATTTCCCTAATTTTAAAATATGTCAGTTAAGTGTGAAAAGCTAGTTGAGGAAAAATTTATGTAGTGTGATTCTATTGTATGTGTGCCTGTTTGTTAAATAGATAATACACAAAAAAATGTCTGGGGAAAATATCATATGCATTGTATCTTACAGCTTGCTAACTTGACTTTTCTGAGAAGAAGTAACAGGAAAAGGGGCAATGAACCACTTGTCCTTTTGACTTTATGTATTTTGAAAATTTTTGAAAAAGTTTAACAAATGTGTTAATCTTGTTATTATTTAAATAGTCATTTAAATAATTTAAATCATTTAAATAATTTTAATAAATAAAAAAATCCATAACCCCCAATTTCTGACTACTATAAAATTTAACAAAAAAGCCCAATAAGAGGCCCTCTCTGGTGGCACAGCGGGTTAAAGCACAGCACTGAGCAGCTAAAGCCACTTCGCATGAGTTCGATTCCCGCCTGCCCTGGAGGTGATCACATGGCATGGCAGACGTCTCCTGACTCGCCCGCTACTCCCCTCAGCAGTGTACTTCACCAGTCTGCCTGTTCTGCTCCCCACTCTTGTCTCTTGCCGCCCCTGAGCCTCTGTACCCCAGTTCTGTATGCACAAATAAATAAATCTTTAAAAAAAAAGCCCAATAAGAAAATGCACACAACACAAATTTTATACCATGGTAAAATGAGGAGACATGTGGAAGCAGCTTTTTCTCTGTAGACATAGGTGCTGTTTATACTAGTTCTAAGGTTCCTGACATGATGATACTATTTCCTTATATAACCACCATCCCAGTGTTCTGTTGACCACTTGTTACCATCACACATCTGTCATGATTCGTGAAGTAATAAAGTCTCTGCAGTAGCCCTTGGACATGTCTGCCATCATTTCATTTCACTGATAACCTCTTGTCCATAAATTCTTTCAACCTTTCAATCTGGGAGTGTGGGCTTTGTTCAGAGAACCTACTCAGTGAGCTCAAAGATATCTCCAGAGGCAGTCTATGGTCTCCCTCATGTTCCTGCCTTCAGTCTTTTTTGGAAATAGTATTATTTTGAATTATATTTTAGTCTAAGTCTTTTCAGAATCTATTCTACATAACTGGAGATAGAAAATTTGAATTTTTCTTAATTAGCTAAATTGGCCTCTATTGGTTGGGGATCCTTTAGTATTAGCTCAACTCATAGAATTTCTGCAGAGTTTATACTTTCAGTAACTGATGGATTAGCAAATCTTGGTTGTTTTGACAACCATGCATGCATCTTGTGTTGTGTGGCAGACTGTTCATTCTTCCTATTTGTCTTTTCTTTCTTTTAGTGTTATATCCTTTTTCAGTTTATTAAAGACCCAAGGTTACCCAGGTAGAGGCTAACAATTCCCAGTTTCCCTTGCAACATGGTGTGACCATGTCTAACCATGTGACCAAAGTCTAACCAATGGGATATGAATATGAACAAATGTGGAATAGTACAACTTCCATAACACCTCCTTTCCCTCAATGGGATACTGACAAAGACAACAACCTGGGGAAAGGTGGAGCAATAAGGTAAAAAGATTGCTGTATGAAGAGCAGCCCTGGGCTGCTATCCTTTGGCATGTGACATTAATGTGAAATAAATCTGTTCTACTATTCTGGCACAGCCTCTTAGCCTGTACTCCAGCTAATACAGCTTCTCATTCATTGTGATGGTGGGAGATGACATTGACTTTGCTGTTTTTCTGGAGCCTGTTTGCGGTGTGTATAAATATAGGGATAAGTAAGAGGGACCATTATGAAGAAAGAGCATTGGAAGTACCTTTTGCCTTTTCTTACCTTATATTCTGTATAGTTGACACTTCACTGTTGAGGGAACAAAGATTCTTTTTCAAAATACAAAGGACCAAGGAAAAAAACACAAAATTCACCTGTAGGAATAACATAGAACATGCAGAATGCAAGTTAACACGATGTTCTCCATTCATTGTAAATTGAACAAATCTCCTATGTCTCTGCACATGGCATGGAGTTGGTAGCAGGTGGAAAAATCAAATCATGCAATGAGAAACTGTTCTCTTGTACTATCTTCCACCTGACACTTTGGACATTTATTCTGGTTAAGACATTGGAAACACATACTCACACAAATAATGGCACAGACAGGGCCGAGGAAACCCCAGATGAATCCCTGCTTCACATTGAGCCAGCAGCTGGGAAAAGGGACACAGAAATCAGAGACAGCTGAAGTGATGGCTTTCCTAAAAAGAATTTTCCCCAGCATTTTCTGAAAATGTCAACTGATGACAGAAGTCTTTGGTTATTAACTACCATGTATGCATGTTAAACATTTTTCAAGCACAGCTTAATTTTCACACGAGTGTTGTGAGGGTTGGACAATGGGAACAAACATTATCTTTATTTCAAGAATGAGGGCACTGAGATTTAAGGATTGTGGTCCCATATCATGGGAGGGATGAAGCTGGAACCTAACTGTAAAACTACCTCCTTCTAGAAACTTCCATGTTCTTATCACCATGTTTCCCTGACTCAATGGGAAAAGGTTAGAGATACTACTTCAAGGTGAATGTGGAGTGCAGTTGGTTTGGATATTCCAGTTACCATCATGAACACATCTCCACAGCCATCCAGAACCTAGAAGGAGTCAACTCACTGATGGCGTGTTCCATAAAGGTGAGACTTGAATGCTGCAGAAACAGCCACGATAACAGCCGGGACCCCATAGCCCACTGGAAACATGAACCACTTCATGAATTTGTTTATGTTGGAGTAGTTGACCACTCTCAGGTTGTGTGCAGTGAGGAAGAGGTTCAGTCCCTCCAGCAGCATCCAGGTGAAGGAGGCCAGGTAGAGATAATGTAAGGCACCTGCAATGATGGCGCACAAGACCTGGGGAAGAAGGAGGTGTCATCAGGAAGGTAAGGGGTATCTCTAAGATCACTGCCATCATGGATATCTCTGATGCATATGAAGGAATTATTATGGGATTTGGTTATGTCTGTCACTGTGAAATTTGCCATTCCTTCTTCCCTGGGCCATGTTACTAAGGAGGCCAGTGCAGAGAACTCCATGAACTCAACATCCCCTGAGCAGGGCAGGGTTTCTTTTGGGACACTGTCAGTACCTTGATCTCAGTTTTGTCAATGGCTGTGAGGAAGAGCAGGTGGGCCAAGAAGAGGCAAATTGAGAGCTGCAGGTGGATTGAGGTGCTGGTGTTCTGGATGGTTTTACACAGCAGAAAGGTGAGGGCGGCCAGGAAGAGACAGAGCAGAGAGAGGCTCAGTCCCACGTAGGTGATCACAACCAGCACAGGATCCTCCTCCTGAGACCCAGCAGAAAGAAGATCACAGTCACACCTTCTTGCTTGGGATTATGGCTTCTCTCCTGTGAAACTGGGCATCCCACAATAGCCCAGGTTGTTACCCAGGCTTCTGCCTGCCTGCCTATAGGCTGGAGGGTCCACCAGCCTCCCCAACTTGGTCTTGACTAATTTGCTAGATTAGCACACAGAACTGAGAAACATTTTACTTACCAGACCTCTGGTTTACTGTGGAAGGATATACTGATACAGTGTAGCAAGTGTTAGTCAGATGAGTTTTTTCTTTCTTTTGAAAAATTTATTAACAACGTACTGTTGTTAATAAATTTTTATAATTAATTTATAATTAATTTTTAAATTTTTATAATTAATTTATTTTAAATGAAATGCTTTTCTTTCTCTCACATTCTTGTTGCTTTTTTGACAGCAGAGGATGTCTCTCCTCAGGTTCTTCTAGGAGGGACCCCTAGTGCTCTTCCCTATCTTCCCACCATTCTGATAATTTTCCCTTTTTAATTTGGGTCTACAACACTGCAAGTTTCAAGTGTACAACTTCACACCTCAACATTTGTATGTACCAAGTCAGGTCTGCCACTAGCAGTCTAGTTTCCATCTAGCACCATCCAGTTGTTTCCCCTACACACCTCTTGAACCCCTTCTGCTCTGGAAGTGACCATTACTGAGGCATACTTAATATACAAAATATTGTAAATACTGAATGTATGCATTTTGATGAGTTTGAACATATGCATTAGATCCATGATGCCATCATCACAATCAAAGGTAGTAAACATATATAGCACCTCCAAAATGTTTTTTTGTGCTCTCTTGTTTTTCTTTTTTTGTGTTAAGGATACTTAACATGTGATCAGCCTTCTTGAAAAGCTGGTAAATACATCACACCATTTTTTTAACCTCAGGTGCTACCTTGTGTAGCAGATTCAAACTGAAATGGATAGCTATGCCAGGCTTTCTCGTACCCACAGAGGTTCAGGAAGCCCACACGCACCTGTCCCCAGCTCCCAGCTACTGTCTGTAGACTTCAGTGTCTCTAACTGGGGGTGTTTCTCCTGCCGTGTCAACATGCTTGCACTTACCAGAGCTAATCATAATGCTGGGGCAATACTGCCCGTGGAAGCTGCCCTCAAACACAATAGTTGGGAAACTGGTAAATACTCCAGTTCCCTGGCCCACATAGGGGATACTTTGGAGATGCATATCCTAGGATGTCTTCCAGAATTGCCCAATGGGACTAAGCACTCCTTGTACATGGAGTTAACTTTCTCTTTAATGGATCCTTTGCCATCTGTCTTCCCTCCTCACTCCCCATGGATAAAGGGAAGTCCTACTGATATGTCTTGAGCTCAACTTCCAGAGAAACTATTTGCCCTACAATCCATGTCTCAGGATTTGTTTGTGGCAGACCCCAAAACTAAAACACTATTTCTGCCCTTGGGGACTCATTAAATTCAGGGACCATAGATTAAGTGAATCATGCAAAATTAACAAGATACGTTAATGTGAAATGATAATCACCACCCCTCATGTTTCTATAAGGATTTTCACTTATTTCAATGTTACCTTTAGAACATTCTAGTCCTTTATTTTTTAACCTTCAAAAACTGTGAAATACAATGTATATATCAAAAATAACATAAATATGAGTGAATCATAGGAATGAACTATTGAACACTCGGATCCTGAGTTAGTTCAGTCTAGTACCTATTTCAGATGCTATTCCCCATTGCAAACACCTCTGCTTTTGACTAACTGGCTATAGACCGGAGTTGCAATGACTCCTCTCCTTGGGTTTGATTCATTTGCTAGAGCAGCTCACACAATGCAGAGAAACATCTTACTTGATCACTGTTTACTGTAAAAGGTTATAACTCAGGCAGAGCTGGAAGGGAGAGCTGCATAGAACAATATATGGGGAAGGGCAGAGCTTAGGTGCCCTCTCCTAAAGCTGCACATGCTCGCCACTGCAAACTCCTCTGTTCCCACCCTTTCAGGTTTTCCTTACAAACTCCAGACTGATCAGTTACACTCAGCCTCAGAGGTCAGATGTTGGGACTGAAAGTTCCAGCCTGTAATGATAGGGTTGGTTCCCCTAGTAGCCAGCCCCCATCTTGAGATATGTCCAAAAGTTGCTTCATTAATATAATAAAAGGCAGCTTTATTGTTCTCATCACTTAGGAAATTCCAAGGGCTTTAGGAGTTTGGTGCTCCTAAACTGGGACAAACGTCAGATGCACATATGAACATACACATATGAATATATATTTATCATAAATCACAATATCACAAAGATTAAAATCCAAATAACACCAATTAGCCAAATTGCCTTGTGTAGTTCAGTAGCACTTGATACAGTGTTGTACATTCACAGTGTTGTGATCTACTTTTAAAACACCTTTACTACTGCCCAATGAGACTCCATGCCCATGCAGCCATCAGTCCCTATCCTCCTTCTCAACCCTGACAACCACCAATCTCACTTCTCAGGATGCAATTTTCGGCTCACCCATGTTCCTGATTCTTAATATTTATATATTAGCTCAAGTAATTAATTTTTACAGAGGCCTCCTCTGACCACTCTATCTCGAGGGCCTAGGAAGGGGAGTTAAATGTTTCACTGGTACCTGGTTGGTGATGGCCATGAGGACAGCGAAGCTGGACAGGTGGGTGGAATTGCACACCGTGTGGCTTTCATTCACATGCATCACGTAGCAGCCGTGCCTGGACCAGTGGCTGCCCTCCTCTGTGCTATCCCAGTAGACACAGAAGGCCTTGTCGAAAATACGATTCATCTAAAAACAGAACACACAACTTTCTTGGGCGGGACTCTCAGAGTGTCAGTCTACGTTGCAAGTGATGAATGACGAGATGCTTGTGCTAGAACACTCAGGTGATTTACATTTTTTAAAAAGATTTATTTAGTTATGCATACAGAACTGGGATACAAGCCAGAGGTGCAGGGGTGGTGAGAGGATTCACCAGAGACAGAGTGGGGAGCAGAGTAGGCAGATTGATGAAGCACACTGCTGAGGGGAGCAGTGGGCGGGTCAGGAGAGGTCTGCCTGCCATGAGGTCACCTCCGGGCAGGGATTGAACTCATGCTGAAGTGGCTTTAGCTTCTTACTGCTGTACTTTAACCTGCTGTGCCACCAGGGAGGGCCCTGTACGGTATTTTTATCTAGATCATCATACTTCACATTACATTCCAGACCTCATTCATTTTATAACTGGGAATTTGTCCCTTTGATTATCTGCACCCATTTCTCCAGCCTGGTATTCCTTCTCCACTCGCTGCCTCTGGTAACCACCAATCTGTTCTCTCTTTCTGTGAGCTTGGTATTTTAGATTCCAGATATAAAGAAGACCGTACATTGTTTATCTTTCTCTGTCACACTCATCTCATGTAGCATAATACCCCAAGGACCGTCCAAGTTGTACAAATAGGAGGATTTATTTTTTCTTTCTTTCTTTTTTGAAAAACAGAATGAAAGAGAAAAAAACAAAGTGATAATCTGTTGGGTCAAGAGTAGGGGCAGAAAAAGGGCAAAAGCAATGGATAAAACAAAAGTATTTTTGATTGTTATCTAGACTTAATAACTACACCTGGCTTCTGTGTGGAATGAATTTCATGTCTCAGCTGAAATTTCACAGTAATAGGAAGTACTTGTAAGTAAAATAATCCCAAGCTCCAGAATAATACCACCCAAGAGAAATATCAAGTGAGTTGCTTATGTAATTTGGAATTTTCTACCAGCCATGTTAAAAAAGGTAAAGAAACAAGTTCAATTAATTTTAATAATATACTTTACTTAACCTTCTTTATTCAAAATATTATCTCAATTTGTTAAAGCAAAACAATACATATAATTAATAAAAAATTAGTAAGGTGGTATTTTATACTTTTTTCTTACTTAGTTTTTGAAATCTGGAAATGCTAAGCCTACATATGAAAATACTAAGTCTTTAAGATCTTAATTCAGGGCCCTCCCTCGTGGCACAGTGGGTTAAAGCACAGCACTAAGAAACTTAAGCCACTTCAGCATGAATTCGATCATGGAAGTGCCTGCCCAGGAGGTGACCCACATGGCACGGTAGACCTCTCCTGACCTGCCCGCTACTTCCCTCAGCAATGTTCTTCATCTGCCAGCCTGTCCTGCTCCCCACTGTCTCTGGTGAATCCTCTCACTGCCCCTGCACCTCTGGCTTGTACCCCAGTTCTGTAATGGATAAATAAATAAATCTTAAATAAAACAATTCAGACCTGCCACATTTCAAACACTCAATGGCTGTAGTGGCTGTAGACTACTGTATGGGACGGCAAGGGTCTAGAACCCCCTGAATAGGGAGAATATATGTCATTTGGTCTACTGCTGTGATACTTAAGCAAGTTCTAACTGCAGTTTTGACTCACCTCTGTGTGTTGAAAAGTCAGAATCACAGGCTCAGAGAGAGTTGTATTCCTCTTGGGTCTCGTTGCAGCACTCACTATCTGGGAGTTCAGGTAAACTTGATCATTCTCACTCATCTCTTTAAAAAAAGTGGCATTTATGATGTGTCCAAGAGAAGCATATGAAATGAAGGCAACTGCACTGGGACCTGAGAAAACAAAATGATGGAGTCTTTGCACTGTCACCTTCTGGCCACCTTTCCCACCCCAAACCTGTCAGGCCTCCATGATTGCTGTTATGTGTGTTCAAGTGTGCTCAGGAAGCTCATTCCTTTCATGCTCTTCCCAGAGCCAACTCATCCTTAAGACCTAGCTCAAGCCAGCCTCTGACTCAAGAAGTTTTCCCGTAAGCAATTTGTGATGCTTCTTTCTCTGAACTTGTATTTGAAGTGGCGCCCATGCTAGGCTGTGAGAACCCAGTGTCCATTAGTCACTTCATGTGGCTTAAATTCTATTCTTCCAACAGGCACTAAACTTCTTGGGTGACTATACAGGCTACATTGTTTGGAAACCACACATGTGGTAAATGTGGTAAGTGGTGAATTCTTTTAAAGCATCTTTCTTTCCTAAACATATTTTTAAAATAATGAAACTTTTATTGTAAGAATTTTATTTATTTTTATGTAGAAGAACTGGGGTGTTGGTCAGAGGTATGGGGGTGAGAGGATCACCAGAGACAGAGCTGGGAGCAGAACAGGTGGGTCTACTGAGACACACAGCTGAGGGGAGCATTGGACAAGACAGGAGAGGTCTGCTGCACCAGACGGGTTAGGCCCTGGGCTAACGTAGGAACTCAGGCCGCTTCAAGCTACATGATGGTAGCACTGATACTAACCCCCGGTCCACTGGGGGGCCCCTTTCCTAAAAACATTTTAATGTAAACAGACAACATAGACTTGGTATTTATAAATACAGAACTGTAAATATATTTCCTTTATAACATTTTCTTTTCTCTAAGTTTATTTTATTTCAAGAATGTAGTATATAATACATATAACATGCATAAATACATACAAAATAAGTGTATTTTGACTGTTATCAGTAGGGTTTCCAGTCAATAGGAGGCTATTCAGTCAAGATTTCAAGGCATCAATAGTTATATGTGCATTTTTGACTACATAGGGGAATGGCTCCCCTTCCTCCTGTGTTGTTCAAGGGTCACCTGTAGATATGTAGGTATGCATATATATAAGAATCACATTTAAGGGCCCTCCCTGGTGGTGCAACAGGTTAAAGAGCAGCACTGTGAAGCTAGCAGCAGCTGCCCTTTCACTGGTGCTAGTTAGATCCAGGTCTTAGAGGTGACCCACATGGCACCATAGACCTCTCCAGTTTCACCCCACTGCTCCCCTCAGGTATGTATTTTGTTGATCTGCCCGTTCTGCTCCCCATGCTGTCTCTGGTGAATCCTCTCACTGCCCCTGCAACTCTGGCCTGTGCCCCAGTTCTGTATGCATAAATAATAAATACATCTTTAAAAAAAATCACATTTATTTCATTTTTTTTTAAAATCACATTTAAACATTAAATAATATGAACATATTTGCATGGACATAAGTACTGATTATTCGTTGTGCTGGTGTGGTGAGAAATCCACATGACAAAGAGGTCATACACAGTAAGTAGTTAAGGGTGTAGAGGTGAGGATTAGGTTTATGGGTTCCAATTTTAATGTGGCCATGAACTTAACGGTGAGGCTCATCCTATTGGAATAAATCTCTCAACAAACTTTTCTATTTAGGTTCCTCTGGCCTTGCTTGAGGGATCAAATGCAGGATGTTGACTTTTCTGGGTTTTTCTGAGTAATGTCAGTTTCCATTCACCAAAATGAAACAATGGTAGGTGGTTGGAAAACATCAGCAGGTGTGAGAGAGCAAAATCTCAAACAGAAAAAAGTGCCTGTACAAGTTTCCAAGGTTGGTCTCTGTGGCCTGGGTTTGTTCACTGGAACAAAGTAAGGGGTTTCAGGGAGTCATGTGATTGTGTCTGACCAGGAGCCCTTGTTGGTGTTAGTACACACCTGGTGCCCTGGTGAGATTTAATAGCATCCCCTTCCAACCTTAAAATTGTCTCTGTTTCGGGGCCTCCCTTGTAGTGCAGCGGGTTATAGCACAGAACTAAGAAGCTAAAGCTACTTCAGCCTGAGTTAGATCCCTGCCCTGGGGCAGACCTCTCCTGTCTCACCTGCTGCTCCCCTCAGCAGTATAATTCCTTAGTCTGCCTGTTCTTTCCCTGCTTTGTCTCTGGTGAATCCTCTCACTGCCCCTGCACCTCTGGCCTGTATCCCAGCTCTGTATGCATATATAAATAAATCCTTGAAAAGAAATTGTCTCTGTTGTGACATAAATGAGAAAGTTGCTCTCAATTGGTCTCTATTTTGAGACCACAGGCTCTCAACCGCGTGGTGACTCGGCCCCCCCTTAAAGGACAGTGGACAATGTCTGGAGGTATTTTTGTTTGCCAAAATTGGGGGGGTTGCCATTCGGCATCTTGTGGATAAAGACCAGGATCCTGCTCAACACCCTATAGATGCCTCCCCATGATAAAGAATCATCTGACCCTAGACAGAACTTGAAGGGCAGAGAAAATCCCCTCTTGGAGTTTGTCACGAACCTGTCTGTGTTCTTTTCTCTTATTAATGCTGAAGACTTAGCTTAAATGTGGGTTTAATGCAATGAGCATTTGTCACTGTTCTTCGGGATCTACACCCATAATTGTGACTAGAGAGAGAAAGAATCCATGTTTTCTGCCTTTCAGGAAGCGTGCATTAGGGTGGGGAGGCAGGGACATGCCAGGGGAGCAAATGGATGTGATTTGTTTAGCGTGTACCTTGAAGCCTTGCGTGCTTGCCTTCAAACTGAGTTACAGAGGAACCCAGCCGCAATGCAAGCATGAAATTATGTGCTTCGTTCCCATCCTTCTTTACCCAGCACTTTCTTAAGCGGAGGTAGATTCAAGTTCTTATATTCTCAGGGCAGGAGAGGAAGTGAGAGGAACCTATAGCCTCATGATCATCTGAGACAGTCTCAGCTCAGCACCTGCTTAGTTGTCTACATTACATTTGTACTTTGGGACCTTTGGTGACTGTACAAATCACTATTCCTTACATTTATGTAATTAGATTTTAAGGCCCCATTTATATTGCTAGAGTAATTATAATTATATGGCAATAGCCTGGTAACAGTGGAATAATTTATAGTAACAATCTAATCGCTTTTGCACAGGTTGTAGCAGATTCCATAAGCACACTGATTTTTTCTTAGGTTCTCTATATGCTGATGGAGTCTACCCACAAGCAGCTGTGATTCTGCCTGGGTGCTGTAGACAGGACAGATCAGAAGGGTTCCCAACCAGTTCTGTAAAGAGCTATGCATCAGAGCAGGTGGATAAACAGATCAGCTCTCTCTCCTGGAATGGGATGATTTGGTGGAACTGAGCCCCAGGCTCACAGCTGCTCCTAATTCTAATATAGCAATGCCTGTGTGGGCCGCCTTCTGTTCCCGGCTTGCTTCCTCTGTGCGCAGACTGGGGTGGTTAATTTATGTGTCAGTGTAGCTAGTCTACAGTAATGTATATTTAGTGAAATACCAGTCTGGATGTTGCTGTGTTTTTAAAAATGAGATAATCAGTAAATACCTTAGATGTTAAGATAGTTTGCCCTCCATCTGGTGGTAGTCATCATCCAATCAGCCGAGGGCCTTCAGAAAAAAGACTAACTTTCTTCGGTGGAGGAGGAAATTCTATCTACAAACTGTCTTTGGATTTGAGCTGCAACATCAACTCTTTGCTAGGTCTCCAGAATACAGACAAGATTTTAGAATTGTCATAACAGTCAAATCTTTAAAACTCTCTGTTCCCCCAAGTCAACATCTCTGTCTCTCTCTCTGAATACATGCGTGTGTGCACCTCCTACCCCCATAGGTTCTGTTTCTTTGGAGGGCACTGACTAATAAACCTCCTGTTGCTACCTGGGGCTACTTCTCACACTTCTTTTACTTGAATTCCTTTTGCTAAGGGGAAGGATGTCCTAAAGGCACTCTGCAGAGTCTTGCAGACTCCACCCCCTACTCCAACTTTCTGGACTCTACCCCCTACTCCAGTGATTGGAAACTACAATTCCCAGCAGTACCAGGGAGAGAACAGAAAGGACCCAAGGGTGGAGCTAAACAGGAATTCTGGGACATTGGGGAATAAATAGGAAGCCATGGGGTCTCTCGCTTTCTCACTAGGGAAACAGCTCTCTGGGACTGCGTGACTTGGGGCTTTCAGTTAGTTTGTTACCAGAGCTCCAAGTTTGCTGAGCTGATAAGATACTCCAGTTGTTGTTTCCTGTTCTTTCCCCCTTTTTGTAAATAAGCTCATTTTGACCCTTTTGTGAGTGCCTCAGTATAAATGAATTTTAAGCGTGTGGGTGAGGCTCCACTGACAGGGGCCCAGTTCACTCTGGGCTGCCCTGTAACACTTTCACTTGCTCCAGGGATTGATTGTAGGTGAATCCAAACTGAGATAGAAAACAGGCCCAAAATTGCAAAGATGCTCTTCCAAGCTAAAGAGTAGAAAACCTTTTTTTAAAAAAAATTATTTATGCATACAGAACTCGGGTTCAAGCCAGAGGTGCAGGGGTGGTGGAGGCTTCACCAGAGAGAGTAGGGAGCAGAACAGGCAGATTGACAAAGTACATTGCTGAGGGGAGCAGCAGGTCTGACAGGAGAAGTCTGCCAGGCCATGTGGATCACCTCCAGGACAGGGATCGAACTCACACTGAAGCGGCTGCAGTTCGCTTGCAGTGCAGGGTCTTAACCTGTTGCACCACCAGCAAGGGCTCGAAAACCTTCATTTAATTTCTTTTATTATTATTTTTTTTATGCAAGAGACTCCAATGCCACAATCTTAGAGTAACAACTTCCTTAGGGGTATGTGTAGGGTAAATGAGTTTAAAATAGGCTTTTTAATACCCTCCCACCATTAGCATCTATGGCTTGCATGTGCACTAGTAATTATGGATACCTGGGCCCAGTGAGCATGGGCGTGCGCATGTGTAAATGGAACACCTGTGGGAGGGGTTTTCAGGATAGTGTCACTGAGGTAGGAGAACAGAGGGAACTACTGAGAGAGAATGCTGGTCTGTCCCCTAAGTCAGCATTAAAGGTCTATAAAAAAATCTACTGACAGCTTCAAAGTTATCTTTTTATCAGAGAGATGAGCTTACATGGCCTGAGGCAGTTGCAAAATAATGTGCCTATTGGAGAGACTTCCTCAAGACTCATGGTGGTAGTGCTCTGTGTCCCAGGGATTCTGCATGAGCCTCACACGTACCTTGGTTTTTTTCCTGGTTGATTTCGCTGCAGTGAATTTCCATTGAGTTCATATGGGCTTTCAAGTTGAAGATATTCTGCGAGCAATTGTCCCTGACAACTCGAGTTTCAACAGCTGGCAAGACAAATAGAAAACTTATCATGATTACAAGATTTAAAAGTGTGCATGGCAGCACAAGTGGGCCAATTTACTGAAAGTCTGGGATGTGCCAGGCACAGGGCTAAGATCCTTATATATTGTCCTCTTATAACAGTCTCCTGTAATCCCATAGGGACCATTATTCAGATGAGTGAGCTGAACTTCAGATGTTAAGTTAGCTCTTATTTTTGAAACCTAGTCTTTACCTACCACCTTTTAGCACATCACCTTTGAAGCAACAGCTTCATTTCTAGGAATTTATCCTAAGACAACAGTCATGGATGAGGGGGCAGATTTAGCCACTAAAAGTTCATAGAAGCATGGTGATAATGGTGCAAAATTGGAAATTACTTAAGTGTTCAACAACAAGGAATTGATTTAATATTTAATGGCTTATCTTTATAATGAGGACCTAAGCTTCCAATAAAAATGAAGTCAAAGAAGAATTGTACCAAGAAACAAGTTCCTGAAAATATTTAGCTTAAAAAACAGGTGGCCAGAGACTGACTAAGTTGGAAAATGCTGATATTGGGTGATAGGTGCAGGGCATAGTAGATTCCTATTATTTCTTTTTATTATGTTAAGAGCATTTTTTTTTT